TTACTGATATTTTCTTTGTGACCTGACATATGGTCACTTTGTGAATGATTCTTATACCTTGAGAAAGAGTTGTATTTTCTATTATCAAGGTGAAAATTTTAATATATAGCTGTAAGTTTTACCCCATTGACTGTGTTGTTTAGCTCTTTGATTTCTTCATTTAGGTTTGGTTTGCTAGATTTGTCTTGTTCTGAGTGGTGTGTTCAAGTCTTCCATTATTAGTGTGTTTTAACCTATGCCTTTTTGCATCTCCTGTAATTATTGCTTTATAAGGGTGGGGTTTTTGTAGCATTACTTGATGTGTAGATATCCATAATAGAAATAACTTTGCTGTAATTTATGACTTTTAGCTTTAAAAAAGTGTAGACTTTTTTTTAAAGCCCATTTTGCTTACTTCCTGGAACGGTTTTCTGCCTCTCACCCACTTCATGTGGATAATTCCTGCTGATCTTTCCCATTGGTGTTTATATGTCATACCTTTCCCTGACTTCCCACAATTTAGGGTGTCTCTCTATTATAATTTCTCATGATGAATCTATAGATTCATCAAATCATTCTGTACATGTTAAGTTCCTACTATGGGCTGGGCATGATTCTGGGTATTGGGGAAGCAGTTGTGAATAGGAAAGCAAGGAACTGCCCTCAGACAGCTCACAATCACCATTTATTTTTCTTTCCTAAAATGTAACACAGTTGGTAGTTTACTATTGTCTGTCTATTGTCTGTGAGCTTCATGAGAAAAAGGACTGTGCTTGTTTTGTTCACTGTTGAACTCCTAGCACTTAATACAGTGGGCGCCACAGGGTTGACATTCAATAAGTATATATTAAATGAATATGAAAGTATATTTTATATATTTTATCTCCCAGACTAGTGGAAACTAGTCACACCTACACATACACACAATTTTTTTTTCAGTTCAGTTGTAAGCTTTTTCTCACCCAGGTATAGTCTGAAATCTATCATGAAGAAATACCACTGAGAGATAGGGAAGGCTTCATTTTGTATTCAGACAAACATTCCAGTTCTCCTCATTTCGCCTTTGAATAAATGAGTTCATTTTTACTTTCTTATCCAGGGGTTAGAAAGCCTGGAACCAGCTGGCACTCCTGCAGACCTCCTTAAATGGATGGGCTGTGGTCCATTACGAGGGCTGTGCTGAGGACATGCTATCAGAGTGGATAACAGAGTTGGAGGAACTGAAGTCAAGAGTTAGCCTTTTCATGCCACTAAAGCAAAAGCATTGTCTTTCCCAGGAGGATTTTAGAAGAACGAAGAATTTCAGATCTTTAAAACCATCTAAAGGTGCCTTTTTGATATATCCTGCTTTGAAAGGATGCCTGGAATTACTGCGTTTGTTTCTGCAATAACACTGTGTGCCAACCACCTGGCTGCCAAGAAGTACAGAGCACTTTACAAAGACAGAGCCTGAAAGTTTCAGAACACAAACTATTTAATTCATAAGCAACAGATTCCTCAGAACCCAAATGACCTCTCTCAGCTTCTAGGACTGTGGTATGTTAGCATCACTTTAGTTAGATATTCTCAGATGTTAGGGAGAACACCCAAGTCACCTGTGAACTACACACCCCTTAGAGTATGTTCAGTTCTACCATGGAGGTGGGTAGATAGGACGGGGAGAAGGGCGTATCTACCACTTATCACCTGACTCGTCATTGTGGAAAACCATCTGCAAAGTGCGCTATTATTACAGAGTTATGAAGGAGGCACGCCCTCTGGAATCTTGGTGCAGGAAAAAGCTGAGAATCAGCTTTAGTGAAATGATCTTATCAGAGACAATACTTGACTAGTGACCAGTCATCTCAGCTAGTGAGAGTAGTGGCCTAGTCCCTTCTCAGTATAATTCAATTCTGTGTCCTTGGACTAACCACAGCACCCTTGAGTCCAGCCAGTCACTTAAAAAGTTCATTAAGGGGCCGGCCCCATGGCTTAGCGGTTAAGTGCACATGCTCCGATGCTGGCGGCCCGGGTTCAGATCCTGGGCACGCACCGACGCACCGCTTCTCCGACCATGCTGAGGCCGCGTCCCACATAGCGCAACTAGAAGGATGTGCAACTATGACATACAACTATCCACTGGGGCTTTGGGGGGAAAAGGGGGACAAAAGAAAGTTCATTAAGGACCAGAGGAAGATACAGTCGAAAGGATCAAGGTAATTCCATGCCCTTCATTGGCAGCTTTGACTAATAAGGTAGTGTCATGCCTGAATATAATATAGGACTTATGTCCAGATCATTTTACCTGGGTTAACTTCCTTTGTGAAATTATGTCTCTTTTTATTCTGTATATAGAATATAGACTATATACTATATACTATAGTAAACATAATTTGGTATTAAAAAATAGGATTCCAGAAGACCATTTCTTTGGGGACACTTAAATGAGAAAGCATAATGAGAATCTGGGGTTGAGAGGAAGAGAGGACACCCTGAGTTCCTTCACCCTCTACAAAAAACACATTCATCCATTGGTTTCTAGTGGATGGGCTTAGAGGAAAGAGAGCTTGGAACAGGAAGAATCAGGAACTTGCTTCTAGACATGAGAGGAAGATGTTAGGATGATGCAAATAAGTTTCAAAGACAGATGGAATCCACCATTAAGGTTTCGGGCAGCTTGAGAGGTTTGTTAGTTTCTATTGCCACCTAACAAATTAACCCAGAACGTAGGGGCTTAAAACAACATTTATTATCTGCCAGTTTACGTGGGCAGGAATTAGGAAGCAGCTTAGTTGGGTGGTTCTGGCTTATGAGATTATAGTCAAGGTGTTGACTGGGTCTGTGGTCTTCTGAAGGCTTGACTTCAAGATGGCTCATTCGCACGGCTATAGGCAGGAGGCCTCAGTTCTTTGCCATGTGGGTCCTTCCATAGGTCTGCTTGAGTGCATGACATGGTAGCTGGCTTTGTAAGAGAGAGGTGGAAGTCACACTCTGTCATTTCTGCAATATCCTACTGGTGATCTGAGTCACCCTACTCAGTATGGGAGGGGGACTATGCAGGGTGTGTATCCCAGGAGATGGGATCACTGGGGGCAGCTACCACAAGAGGCTATGCCCAATGCCAGCCTATAAGAAGCAGAAAAAAGCTGCACTTCATTAAACGTAAGAACTGCCTTATCAACTGGAAGAAAAAATGGGGTGGGACAAGTGTTGGATAAACAGGGGCCCAGAATCTTAGGGAACTTTGGAAGAGGAGGGAAGGGAAGAATATGCAAAGTAGTTATAAGGTGGCTTAAAGCTCGGATGTAGAATGTTTGGGAGACATTAGAAAAGTGCCTTTCTCATCTAGAAACCTAGAGACTAAGGTGTGAACTGAGAGAATTAGGAAGTTATGATGGTCATCGAGTGATATGAACATCTCTTCCCAGGCCGTTACTGGGGATGTCCACACTGCAGATGATCCTGGATGCTTACTGTGGGAGGGACTGGGTCTTTTATTAGATGGGGAAGCAGGTTTTGCAGTGCCGACCCAAATCAGCCTTGGCTATGTGGCTGATGAAGCAAAAGGCAGCGTGGCTTTAAAACAGAAATATAACCTTTAATAGCATCTACTTCATGGCACCTACTTTGAGGGGAAAAGTAAAAGTAGAAGAAGGAGTGAGATATTTTGTTGGCTTCACCAGCGAAGTCAATATTTGGCTAGAGTTTAGATCAAGTGAGACTCAAAAAAATGTCCTCATATGTTCCGGTATTATTTTGCTTTCCCATCCATCCACTCCTCCACCCATCCATCCATCCATCCATGCAATGTTTATTGACCATTTACTTTGTGCCTTGATTCTCTAGAGAAAATACAAAATTGTTGGATTTTCAATTCATAAAATTATGTGTTTTCCAAAAATCATTACCACAATATTCTATCTCTGGAGCATGTTACCACACTAATCAAGGAGAATGGAGCTAATATTTTTTGAAAGTGACAGTCACACAATTAATAAATGGTAAAACTGCCACTAAATTCAGCTTGGCCAGTCTGTCTATGCCCTTTGGATCACACCTCCTAAAATGATTTATCTAATTTTTTTCTTAACTCAGTAGCTCTCTCTCTTGACCCTCATGAGCTGTTGCTTCTTTTGATAAGGTTCTTATTGCTCCCAAGCATACCTGAAATAACCCCAAAGAAAAGTACATGATAATATCTCCATACCTTAAAAAAAGTTAGACATAAGTACCTTTTTGTAAATGTCTATATTGGTCTCACATTGTAATCATAAGAATTCCTATTAGATTATGGGCACTTAAGAAAAATTTTGTTTGTGTACACAAATAAACATTTAAAAACAGAACTTTGATTATCAGATATAACTCTCAATAGATAATATATATTATTATGCATACATAATACATACTCAATACTAACATAAGTATAATATAATACTCTCGACAAGTAGCATTATCCACATTGTTATGGGCTGAATTGTGTCTCCCAAAATTCATATACTGAAGCCCTAACCCCCAGTACCTCAGAATGTGACAGTATTTGGAGATGGGGTCCTTAAAGAGGTAACTAAACTGAAATGAGGTCATTAGAGTGGGCCCTAATCCAATATGACCATTGTCCTTATAAGAAGAGGAGATTAGGACACAGACAAGCAGAGGGAAGATCATGTGAAGACAGGGAGAACAGCCATCTACAAGCCAAGGAGAGAGGCCTCAGAAGGAACCAACCCTGCTGACACCTTGATCTTGGACTTCTATCCTCCAGAATTGTGAGAAAATTAATTTCTGTTGTTCAAGCCGCCCAGTCAGTGGTACTTTGTTATAGCAGCCCCAGTAAAGTAATACACATATTTGACAGATGAGGGGATGCAAGGTCGAAGTAAAATGACTTGCACAGGTATGTGCAAGGGAACTATCAGGCGCAAATTGGGCTCCTCTGACAAAGAGGCCATCTCCCGCACCCCACCCCCAACAGAACATGCTCTAAGAATTTAATAAACATCAACCAGCACTTTCCTCTAATGAAGTCACTTTACCACCACCCCCTAATCCTCTCCACAGTCCTTTTTAGGTTTGCAGAACAGGTCACTGGTGCCTCCATGTTATCTCTGGCCTCCAGACTCCCACTACGGGCTATGAGAATTTAATTGTCACCTTGTCTCTCAAAACAGTAACTAGAATAGCTTCACACATAATTCAGAGGATCCAAGAGAACATTTTTCTTCCTAAGACATGCTTGTCATAAACAAGCTATTTTAATATTTTTTAAAAGGAAATCAGTAACAGAGTTTCATTATTAGTCAAAGCAGAGCCTAAAAACCCCTATGGCTATCCCTTTAGTTCTAATAAGCTTGGAGCACACATGGTCTTCATCAGGCAAAACAGGCTCGGGCGATCTGTTTACTGACACAACCAGATCAATGTCCAGATCCAGGGGGTGTGCTGGACAAAGCAAACCGGACTGTTTGGTTCAGGGCTGTGTGCCGAGGACACGCCCCCACGACTGCCCAGACTCTTGCTTCAACCTCGGTTATGCCCTCCTTCACTGAAACTCAACCCAGCGTCGGAAACCACAGAAGCAATCAGTTTGTAAGTAGGGTGGCCACAGGGCCGTATCGGGTTTATTATTGGCCACCTTGTAAACAAAGGAGACAAGGACTGTTTTCAGATTCAAAAGGGGCCAATGGCTGGCTGTGCAGTCAGGTGGTTGGCGCCTGTGCAGATAAGCTCTTACTCATGCAGGTGGTGCACTTGGCAGATACTTTTCCATTTCTCCCTTCCCGGCTTCTGATATTTGGGCTTAATATTTCTAGCTTTTTAAATGTCTATCCTTTTCATTTAACATTGGAGTTCCGGAGTTCAGCCCTCGGGCCTCTCCTCTTCTGGGTCTATGCTCCTTCCTTGTTGATGATCTAAAGCTCTCTCATCCCTCGTCCACGTGCTGATAAAATGCTACCTTACATCTCTGGCCAGCACCTCTCTCTGAACTCCAGACTTATATATTCAGCTGTTTACTCAATATTTCCTCTCAGACATCTCATAGACAACTCAACCTCACACGTACAAACCAAATTCCTACTCTTTCTCCCTGAGCCACCTACTTGCTGGAGTCTTCCTTATCTCAGTTAATGACAACTCTGGTCTGACAGGCCATGATCCTTGGAATTTTCTTGCCTCCTCGTGTACCCTCAAACCCAAGACCCAATGCACTAAGTGGGTTGTGCCAGCTCTACCTTCAAGGCACGTCCAAAACCCAACTTCTTCCCACCACCACCTCTGCACTCCTGGTCAAGTCCGCACTCTCTCTGGCCCAGAACCTTCATCTCCCAACTGGTCTCCCTGCTCCCTTTATCCCTGACAGTTGCCTTTTCATCCCCAGCCTGAGAGATCCTGGGAACCTGAGTCAGATGGTGCTACTCCCCGACTCAATTCCAGCGGCTCCCGGGCTCACACAGAATTGACACATCTCTACTGTGACCTACATTCATTTTCTGTTTTTGATTTCTTCTATGACCCTGTCTCCCCCTTGCTAGCTTTTCCCTGGGCACACAAGGCCCCTTGCTGTTTCTCCAACCTGCCGACACAGCCCCTGCTGGCAGGGGTTTGCTCTTGCCTGGAACACTTCTTCCCCAGACCCCACAACACTCACTCCCTCCATCCTTCAAAGTCTTTGCTCAAATGTCACCCGTGTGAGGCCTTCTCTGATTGCCTGATTAAAACATACCCCCTCCCGTCCCCCTTCACTGCTTTTCCTCCTCTATGGTGCTTACCATCCTCTAACATGATATGTCTAACATGAACCACTTATTTGGTTACAGCCTGTCTCCCTCAATGAAATCTCAGCTCCCTGAGGGAGTGGTTTGCGTCTGTTGACGGACCATCAACTACTACAGGCCTCACAGGCAGTGAGTGCTTAATAAATATTTGTGAAATGAGTGAATTAATGGAATTCCTCCTACATAATTTCCCCTATTTAGATGAAAAAGTCTCACTATCTGAGAAGAAAGGGCAAACCGATGGTGGCTTGAGAAAGTTCTCTCTGAATTAATCTCAATCTAGTGGGTGTTCTTTTTCTTTTTTGGTAAGGAAGATTGGCCCTGAGCTAACATCTGTTGCCAATCTTCCTCTTTTTTGCTTGGGGAGATTGTCCCTGAGCTAACATCTGTGCCAATCTTCCTCTATTTTGTATGTGGGACACCGCCACAGCATGGCTCGATGAGTAGTGTGTAGGTCTGCACCTTGGATGGGGCTGCGAAGCCTGGGCCGCTAAGCAGAGCACGAAAACTCAACCGCTATGCCACCAGGCTGGCCCCTAGTGGGTGGTGTTTTTGACGTTCTCTCCTATGGTAAGGTAAAGTTTTTACTGATATTAAATATGTATGATTTGGGGGCTCTTCCTCTTTCATTAGGTTGATCTCCATCCTTTTGGACATTAAATACACCCTTTGATACACAGAGGCATTCAGTAGATATGGGCTGAACTGAACCAAATCAAATGGATCAGCTTCATTTCCTTTCCCAGAACAGAGCAAAGTCACCGGTTTGAGTTGGTTGTCTTTGAGTCCTTTCTTGTCCGACAGTCTTTCTCTGCCTTTTTCTTTTCTTTAATTCTGTTTTTGTGTGTGTGTGTTGTTTTTAAATCTCTGGACTACTGTTATAGGGATTAAAGGAAAAAAAAAACAATATTTTTAACTCAATAAAACCCCTCCTGCAGCTCATATTCATCACGTGGGTTATTTCAATTAGTGAATTTGAAGGCACTCCCTTGGAGTATATGGCAGGAATTCACTCTGTACTCTCAAGTTCCAGAGGGCAGAGTTTCAAAATTTACAGAAACTAGTTGCCAATAGCAGCCAGGCTCAGTCTATATTCATGGAGAGGAATAGCCCAGAGGAATTTCTCACCCAGGAGTTCCCAAATCTGGTTCCCTGCCATGCTTGGAGGTACAGAGCTCTAGGATTCAGTCCCAGAATGGCGTGGGTGGAGCAATCCCAGGGTCCATTGCCACAGAACCCCTCCCCAGAGCTCCCGAAGCCTCCCTGGTAAAACTGTGTATCTCTCTTCACCCTCCAGGCCCATGGAGCCCGTGGGAACTGAGCAGAGGGGCACCGTCTGAGGATGATGGGTGTATCAAGGAGGACATCTCCCAAGGTGGTGAGCACAGAGGTTGGAATGATGGCAGAAAACCGTCTGAATTAATGAAATTTTAGAATTATAGAAAAAATTTAAAACAAAATATTTGGGGGCTGCCCGGTGGGGCAAGCGCTTAAGTGCGTGTGCTCCGATTCGGTGGCCTGGGGTTCGCAGGTTCAGATCCCGCGCGCACAGACGCACAGCTTGTCAGGCCATGCTGTGGCGGCGTCCCATATAAAGTGGAGGAAGATGGGCACAGATGTTAGGTCAGGGCTGATCTTCCTCACACACACACACAAAAAAACCATAAAATATTTGATCATTAACAATTATTTAACAAAGGGACTCAATCAACATTTATGGAATTAATTTAATGAATAGATAAAAATGATTTTAAATTAGCAAAACACATGCATGATAATGATATTTCAATAGGACATGATATATATTGTACTTAACTACTTGAGCATTCCTGCTACAATCCCCTTAATATCTTATACACATAAAAAATAGCTCATAAGAGGAAAATTTTACCCCAGCCTTTTAAAAACTTCCAAATTATTGTGGGTTTTCTCTTTTTTTTTCTCCCTAATTCTTAGGTTTTATTCTTCTATGCACATTTGTATTTTTCTGCCCTCTCCCAATGTATACTGCAAGATGTTTGTCTCTCCCGAATGCTCAGGGCTTCCTCATGTAATCTGTGCACCTCATACTGAATCAGTAGTCAAGGGAGCTACACTATTGCTCTGTCCTGTGTCATGCTGCTAAAGGTTTGCATTTTTCAAAAAAACATATTGTTAATAATATAACCTCATCGCTCTGTTGTCTTGTGTATGTGCAATGGTGTGATGGCGTGATTACAGGGTCTGGTAGAAATCTCTATTCTCCAGAGTCACTAGCTGGGCAACCTGGGGAAACTCAATCACTGAGTCGCCAGTTTCTGTTCTGTAAAATCAGGGAAATTATAGTACATGTTTAGATTTTGTGAGGATTAAACATGACAATGCATGTAAAATGTTTAGGACGTCGAGAGCCTAATCAGTGTGGTTATAATTTGTTGAAGCTTTATGATCACCTGGAAGACGGGAGGAGGAGAAGGAGGAGGGTGTTTTTGGAACAGGAGGTTGCTCTGACCAGTCTGCCCACCTGTCTCAGAGGAACAGTGTTTGAATTTTCCCATCCAGAATTCCATCCTCAAGCATCTTCTGATTTTCGACTGCACTTTGCACATTATAATCTGGATCACACTACAGTTATTTTACAGATATTTTCTCTCTTACTAGAATTGTAAACTCCTTGAGTCCAGAGCCTGCTCTAAGCACGTCTGTAGGGATCTCCATCGTTCTCACTTAGTCATACTCCGTTCATGAGTTGAATCCCTCCATCCAATAATGTAGCTAACAACTGTACCACTTCCCCTCCAAAATCAAATTAATGTCATGATTCCAAGGTGCAAAACAGTATTCATCTTCTAATATATTCTTCTAGGATGTACATGAGAGAAAACAGGCCTCCTGCTACACTATTTCTTCTCAAAGACAGACGTAGGCAGGTTTGTAAGGCATTTAGATTTCATTCACAGCGTTACACCGTCATTGCAAACCCAGCAACGGATTTGACAACTATTGGAATATGTGAAAATTCCTTTGTCTTCCCTATGGTAGGATTGTGGGTGCTTCCTTGCCCTCAACTGGGAAGATCTAGAAAAAAGAGATGGTTGCAGTTTCTGGAAGGGAGTAGGACAGTCCTATCATTTCAGAATTGCTGGTCAGGGTGATTGCAGTTGTTGGGAAATGATTACGTGGTATGTTCTTATCTTCAGAGTGGCTGAAAAATTAGAGGAGGTCAAGGTTTTGCAATAGCTGAGAGGGGTTTCTAAAGAGTTCTTATCTTCCACGAGGATTTGGGCAGCTGGAAAATGTTT